GCGGACTGCCTAATTGGGTAATTATTTTTCTTTATTGCTAGTGGGGTGGGACTAAGTCCCTTGTACTGCGGCTACTTCTGGCCTATTGTACCAGCCCCAGATGACAGGTGAGGGTGATTGTGGAGCAATTGGTGGAATGAAGATTGACAGGGGAAACCGAAGTACTAGGAGAAAACCTGCCTCAGCGCCACTTTGTCCACCACAAATCCCACTCGACCAGACCTGGGATCGAACCCGGCCCGCCGCGATGGGAAGCCAGCGACTAACCGCTTGAGCTATGGCGCGACCAATCGGATAATTAAGTGCCAACTGCAGAGAGATTTGTTTTACTCGTATATACCTCGTATCTATAACTCTACAGCCCTTTGTGGACCCTGGTCTCTTCAGAGCTTCTTAATCTATACACAGTCGGTAGGACTCCTTGGAAGGGGGATCAGCCCTTCGCAAGGCCGCTACATACACACAGAGCAACAGAAACACAGACATCAATGCCTCGCGTGGGATTCGAACCTACGATCCCAGTGTTCAAGCGGGCGAAGATAGCCCATGCCTTAGACCGCGCGGCCACTGGGATCGGCAGAGACATGGTTTAGCACTGAATATGCAGAATCTGCCAAGCGTTCGTGTCATTGGTTACACAGAATTTTACGACTTTCCTAAACAACTATGAAAATTCGAAGCCAAAGCGGATTTCATGGTTGGCTACCTGCAACGAAACTAACCGCCTCTGGTAGAAGAACATCCCAATTTAACACAAAGAGGTTTACCCTCATTCGCTGATGTCTAACAAGACGTGTGTGGTTTTAACGCGCTTCTTCTCTTGTCTGTGCGCAGGACCCGAAATAACTTACGCGCGTAGAAGTCGTAAGATCGGATGCACCTCGTTTCACGAAACATAGGTCTGTTGGCAAAGTACACCCTCATATTCCGTGCTGAGCAACGTGAGGCCCAGTACCACACTCCACACCTATAGTGATTACTAACTGGATCTAACACAGGTGTTCCTCGCGAAACCTTCCATTGTCTCAAATGAACTCGGACTGGGCTGCTACACTTTTCTGCTAAAGGAAGACAAATAAATAAATAAATAAATAAATAAATAAACAACAGGTTCACAGATAAGCGCAGCGGCATCCATGTAGCGGCCTGTCTTCAGAAACTTCTCACTGACTTGCAAGTTAGTACCATTCACTTCCCTTTCAATTAATTGCATTAGTATTACAGGAAGAACATGTCCTTTATATCGGTTTTTTCTTCTGTTGAGGCGTGAACATTCAGAACGATGAAATCACACCAGCGATCTCTAAGTATTACGTATGACATCCTATCACTAACGAACTCTACCCACTTAACTGCTGATATGATTCTCATATGTACAAAAAAAAACTTTACCTAATTCATGATTTTCATTCCCCTTTCCATAGAAAATGTATATTCGCCTGCTGGTACAGTGCCACCTCCGTCCCATCTGACCTCCTGTACCCCCGCTAAATCTAACTTATATTTCGAGATTTCTTATGCCACTGCCTTGAGTGAACCTGCACTATACATACTTCTAACATTCCAAGTACCAAATCTCATATCCATTTTCTTTCGTTTAGGTCGTTTATTCACATAATCCGTCCAGGCCCGAGGCTTCTTGCAAATTTTCGTAACAAGCTTATTTTTTACGACACGGAATTGTTAACCCCACACCCAAACCCGAAAATAGAGGACTACGCCTTGTGGGCTGTCCGTAATTTCTTATTCAATATATTCGCAGCTTCCCTCCATACTTGGACGGTGTGTCTTCCATCCGCAACCTGAGGACGCGCCATGCCGTAGTAACAAGGGACTCGCCTAGCATGGGGTACTGGGGCTAACGGACTGATATTCATGTGATTGGAGACCTTCTGAGTTTGATACTATTAACTTTCAATATGGCGATGGTGCGCACATGTGATATCTGAGGAGCATTGTCACAGTTCAGTGCACAGCCATGAGGATTTGTGCAGGCAAAGCTCTTTCAAAATGATGAGTTTCTTTAGGCCCATTAAAGATACTAATGTAGTGTATATAGACATCTTGTAGGAAAGTGGAAAGTAACAAGATTTCCATGATTTATGCTAACCATCTTACAGTGCATACACTTTTTCACCTTACTCTTCTCTTTTGCACTACATGTTTCAGCACTAATGTGCCATCTTCAGGTGCGTTTTCTCTATGCACGTCTAACCACTGCATTCCATGTCCTGATGTCTTCATACTAAAATGACTAAAATATATATTCGTCATGTATAATAATAGATTTTAAATATTAAAACTATAAAATATAAAAATATAACATTAACAAGATTGTTACTGCAAGAAATATATTTATGTGATTACTGCTACCTCAGTGCAGAAACAAATTGCCAGTGGGATAACCGTCATTAATATTTGGAACTTTCATCCCTCAGAATCATGAAACGGCGCCCGAGAGAATTCATTGCTTTTGTTTGTTACGGGTAGAAACTCTGCCCCTGGCTCAATAATTGGACTGCAGATTGAATGAATATCTAGCTGAAGGCAGGCACAGGAAAATGGTAAAGCTATCCCTGTAACAAGCCATAGATGCCCATAGGGTTGTGAGACGTTGAGGTTCCCAAATTATCCAGACAATCGGCCCACAGATGGCGGTAAGCTTGTCAGCCTTACTCGCCGGCCGCCCATTTAGCCCCAGGAAGATTACTGATACTCATTTCTGTTAGAGGCTGAGTCGACCCCAGGTTCATAATGCTGCTGGAAGAATTAGGTTAATTGAAAAAATGGACATCATCGGGACTCGAACCCGGGACGTTCCTGCTTGTAGCATAGTGCCTAAACCAACTACGATACCGCGGCTGAAGGCACGCAAAAGAATAAAAAAAATAATCTATGTGTAAGCCAAGCTTTGTAATTATTTTGTGTGTGGTTTTAGTGTCGGGAAATGATTGAAGCAAGTGAGGCAATATACATTGAGTGTTTATGGTACATCATAAAAACCCACCCGGCAGCCCGTGCCAGAGCTGAGAAGCATACAGAATAACTTCCTATACACACACCAATGTATTTAATATGCACTGTAACTCTACAAGATAGGAACCACATATTCAGCTACAGTATCACTAACTCCGCACGCAGAGCAATCACCTCCTTACGTCAACAAAAAATCTTCTCGTACCTAAAAAATATAAAAACCCACGAAGCCCGTCTGCACTACTTAATAAATTCTACCCAAATTTCCCATTTCAAGTAAATAAAAAATTTAATTCCATTTTTATCTAATTTTATTTAATCACAGTATTTAAATTCTTAAGACGTTTAACTTTTGGCATACATTATTCGAGACGTATGCCACACAGAAAATTAAACTAAATTTTGGATCATAAATTACTGATAAATGTAAAAATTGGATCCATTTTAATAATTTTATGACAACATACGTAACTCATAAAACCACCTGATGGTTGATTTTGTAGACGAAACATAGTGTGATTAAAAAGAAATAACCCTCTATTAATCATTTTAATTTTGTAATCAATTGTTGTGCCGACGGCCCCTAAGTATACATTTTTACGTGATACACAACACGATAAAGAAAATAAAAATGTGCTATATGAATAGAATGGAGTTCGTTTCCGTTATGCAGCAACACAGACATGAAACACAGCTTTGAGGAATCGATAAATAGGATCCATTCATTTCAATCGAACTCTTGGCCAGTGAATTCCATGGTATTCTCCATTACTACAGTATACTAAATTGTCAGCCTAAAATGCAAAAAGATTCCTTTTTTACACATCTGGAGCAAATATATCGTAGGAGATTCCAAACGTTCAGATTAATTTTATAATGAAGTCAGATCACTCAGAGGTGCTTCAGATATCAAGCGAGGCCCTGACGATTAGCACGATGGTTCAAATAATTGATCAGCATCTTATTGATTTCCGATGCTGACTTTCGTCAATACAATTTGTATAACTTCCAATTTTATCATCTGGACGTTACGGCAGATTTGCTACTAGCAGATCATCAGTGCCTAGAATAGGGCTTACGGCTTATGGCTTAAATTTGGGTATTTTACCATATATTTTGACTTCGCAGTAATGTGCTTTACATTCGTTTAGAGGAAAAAGCAACAATTTAAATGTCTTTCGTCTTTGGATATATAATCTTAATAGCGAACGGTATTTAATGAGTTCTATTTAGCGAGTCTTTGAGAAGTGTTAGACACATAATACAGCGTATTCGGGATGTCCATATCTTATTAGTATTCTTTTGTAGCAAAAGTTGCCATTTGAAACCTAATTATCCATATCATGACGAAATTATTTGAATAACTGACACATTTGTACAGCATACTGACATGTAGTAATTAGAACGCACTCGCACAAAACGATGACACATTTATAAGTTATTGGAAAATAAGAAGAATCACGAATATGTTACACGTCCTTCTTTGAGTAAAATCAGGCGAGACACTGACAAATGAAAATCAGCATGTAAGTTGCGTCACAAAATTATAGATAATTATGTCATAAATATGAATACGGAAGTAGAGATACACAGAACCTGACAGCGCAGGGTAGAAGTAAATTCTGGGCTACTCCCCTCCCTACTGTAACAGAAACCTAAACAGCGTAATTCGCGTACCACTAAAAATATAGAAAATTTCTCTTTCGTTTTCGTAATGGGCAGAAGAAAATACAGATCATCTAAGAGCATCTGTGTAACGATAGCCCCATTTAACAACTCTGTGGGAAAGGGATACATTGCACTGCTCCAGGTCGAATAGCTAGCTGCTGTGTTCAGCCTGCTGCTATTCCTGTGTACATGATGTTTCCTTTAATTTAAACTGTTTAAATTATCAGGAATAATGGGAAGAAATGTTTACGCAGATTGTTAGTTAGCTGTCTGGGGGAGAAGAGTGGGGGTGGTGCAGTCAGTATTGGGGAGAGTGTGTGCAAGCTTCCTGTCAGTACGTGCCACGCCATCGGCGGGACAGGCTGGCCAATAGTCGCTTTGTGCGCGCTGCTCAGTTTTTGTTTCCGTGTTGTGATCTTTACCACTGCATCTTATTCACAGGCGGTGGAGACAAAACTTTCATCAGATATCATCTGTGACGTACAATAAGAATTATGGGATAGTGTTTATTTGCCAATAATTTTTACGAATGTGAATATTTTATGATGAAGTTACTTGTATGAACAAAGTGTTGATTTGTTTTTTAAGGAGGGAGAGTTTGATGAAGATCAGAAAAAGGTTCTTTGGGAAAGTTATTATCTACGTATTTAGGTTAGGGGAGACAATTTCTAAAATACGCGCCGGCCTATAGGGGGTATAACGTAGGGTCAAATTGTAGACAGAATAGAGACATTTAGTTTCGATGGCATGAATTTCGCAGAAGACTGATTGAGTTGTTGGGAAGCAAAGGTCCAGAAACGTGAAATATGAAAAGTTTGTGTCTCCTTCCATATAGTGTATCGATCATGTTTGTGTTATTTTATATACATTAAGTGAATCGGTTATCAAAACAAACCTAGATGGATGGTTTGAATCTTCACGGATGTGGGACTCAAGTGATCAATTTCAAGTTCAATCGCATGTAGTCACCTGAACCTCCTCCAAGATGATGCTCGGAGACTTCGAATTTCATCAATGGTGAGTAAATAACAGTCATCACATCTGCTGATAGACATAATCAAGAAACTTAATACAGGCATTGGGCGATTTTCAACGCTTGAAGCGACTTGTCTAATGTTTAGTTAACCTCAGCCATTTTAGGTAGGAACCGAGGAGTGATTCTCTGCAAATATGGATACAAAGCTTACGTGTAGGGTTTGAGGTTCTCACAGAGGTGGTTATGGAGGGTACTATCTTCTGTGATATAACGCTGTGTAATCATTTGAAATTCAATCGAAGTTTCGGAGGAATATGTCGCCTCAAACTTCACGCTGGTATCATGGTCGGTTCATTCTTCAACCATGAAGATGGAGGCGAGATATTCCCCGGAAACTTTGGCAAACTTTAAACAGACTACACTATGTATATCCCTGAAAATGTTTCTCTCCAAATTATACGCGTCTAAAGACATTTTGATTCCTTATTTCCAGTATTTTCTAATTAAAAAGTAAAGCTATCCCTGTACCAGGCCGTGAAGGTCAATGGGGTTGTGAAACGTTGAGGGTCCCACTACGCTATCTCAGCTGGTTGAGGGGCTATGCTACAAGCCGGAAGGTCGCGGGTTCAAGTCCCGATGAGGTCACTGGATTTTTTCCAATTGACCTAATCTTTTCAGCTGCACTATGGCCCTGGGGTTGACTCAGCCTCTAACAAAAATGAGTACCAGAAATTAATTAAATAATTTTCCTGGGGGGTAAAGCGCGACAGGCGCGTAAGGCTGACAACCTTACCGCCATCTGTAGAGCCGATTGTCTAGATAATGTTGGACCCTCAACGTCTCACAACCCTATGGGCCTTCATGGCCTGTTACAGGGATAGCTTTACTTTTTAATATTTTCTAATTCGACCGGTATATTTTCAACAAACAATTTTTGGAGTCATGCCGTCTTTAAAGTTTTAGCTGTTACTGGAGAAGGCCTGTTGAAATCAAGCGAAAAACCAGAATATTAGTGCAGGAATCATATATGTTGCAGGTTATGTAATTCCAAAAAACATTAATTCCTACTTAAAAATATAAATATCAATTACGATGGCATTATTTGGACTGAAGTCTAACGTCGAAGGGTTTGTTGGGCTGTAATAAATGTTTATTTTATTCGTATAAGTTTAAGCAATACAATCGTTATTTCAGTGAAACTTCCAGCTCTATCTCACTATTTAATGAAATATTCGGAAACGATTTGTCATTATTGTCCATGCACTTGTAAGAATGTAGTGTTTTGAAGAAGTAGGGATGCCAGCCATATCAGTAAAGCAGTTATACATTGTCTTCGTGCAAGGGCTGAAATGTTATGAGACGTAGAATATATATATATAATCGGGGTGAGGAAAGCAATTTCCCAGCCATGTTTGAAGTAATTTCTAAAGTAACATATAATGCTATTTATTTCATAGTAGAGAAGGTCCCCTTCCCCATTCAACTCTGTTTCTTCAACTGAGGACTTGTATTCAATTTGTATCCAGTTGTGACAAACACGGTATATGGACATGCGTGTTCGCAGTTTACAGTTTTTGTAAGTTGGGGCTTCAGCTCCGAAACGTTAGCATTCACCGAGGATGAGGATCTAGTCTCACGAGAAACTACTTTCCGCGTTTCCAGCAGTGTCATTGAGGCGCAGCGTTTTGTGCTTTCTTCTCTACTCCAGTCCGGCGTTATCATGCACGTTTTGTGTTGAGTGCAAGAACAAGGAATTTGGGTTTTGATTAATGTTAACGGCGGCTGCTGTTCTTCCAAACCCACAATTTTCATAAGATTTTGGTCTTGTCAACCACATTTTTGCCAATTTTGAGTTTTTCAAGAAGAAAAATTCCCCTCCGGGACCTGTGAGGAATCGTAATACTGTCGAGGGGGTGACGGTGTTGTAAGGTGCCTACGCTGCAGTTAATCCTATGTTTTCTGAACACGCTTAAAATCAACAGGAAGCAAATACGGATGTACCGATCATAGTGGCCGCGCTGTCTAAGATATGACATGTCTTCGCTCGCTCGAAAGCTGGGGTCGTGAGTTCGAATCCCACTCAAGGCATCAATGTGCGTGTCCGCTTATTCTGTGTTTGTGTTGTCCTGTGCGTAGGTAGCGACCTTGCGACTGGCTGATCTCTTGTTCAAGGGGTCCTACCGACTGTGTATAGAGCAAGAAAACTGAGAAAGCGGGCAAGGTCCACAGACGGCTGCAGTGCCATAGACATAGTTCACTCAAATGTGTCTCTTGTTAGTCAAGAAGATCTGTATTTAAGTAGTGCATACTGCCGTTGTAATACGCAGCGTGAAGCGCACGTTTACGTTAGATTGTTGGTTTCGCATTGTTGCTGTAAGATAGGATTGTACTGAAGAATTATATATGGGCCTACAATCACGGCCCTCAAGGAAGAAAGGGNCCTACTGGTACTGGTGCGTGCTATCAGCCCCGTTCAGCCAACGAGGTCGGCCGTCGGTACCTGATATTTCCCCCATTTACCAGAGGCATTGGAAACTACTTGGGGGGGGGGGAATTGTTGCCTAATTTTGCTCAGAGGTCTCATAGAGACATGAGGATTTTTACGTGCCGTAAATCTACGACACGGGACCCACGGCTTGAAGTCCCTCCCGGAGGACTTGTTCCCTGAATTTTTCCGCCGGGTTTGAACCCGCGTACCTTGAGTCATGAGGTGGGGACGTTACCCCTAGACTACGGAGGCCGCTTATTGTATATGTTAATAAAGGAATCAAATTTGTTATAAATCATTAAAAGACAACTATTCTTTTCTATGAAATGCATGAACGAAATTAAGAATAAAATGCGTTAGACGAAAGGGTGAAGTTTAGGAGTTCATTGCAATAAGTAACGGTATGGCTCACGCACCTTTAGATAATAACATCGTTGTTAATCCAAAACGACAACTGAGCACGGCTTCAACAATTAACAAAATATCTTAAGGCAATCTCTAACTGATTCTACACAATTTTATGCCAAAGACATAATGACGTAGCAGACCACTGTGAATTTCTTAAATGTCTTGACGAACAGGTTGAAATATATGTAAATACACACTCTGTAGACTAAAAATGTGAAAAAAGATATATTCTAGTGCATTTTCCATCCGTGTAGGGTATTCCTGCTTACTTTTTAATACCCAAAGTCAGTGTGACTAATGACCTACTACAATCAATCATTATTTTGTTGTTGAACAAAACAAAACAAAACAAGAACAAACTCCGTGGCCTGTAGTCTGCAAGCGAACTATACCGACCGAACGACGGCCGCTTGTCGGCGAAGTTGGTGACAACTTTAGTAGATAGAGGGTGTCACGTGGTCAGCGTAACGGATCCCCACGGCCGTTAATCTGGTTTTCTAGACAAGATCCGCTATTTCCTTGAAATAGCTCCTCAATTATCCTGACGAGGTTGAGCGGACCCCGTTCCAGACCCAGTACTTCTCAGAAAATGTGGTAGCGCCGGGAATAGAACCAGGGACCTCTGGATTTGTAGCCAGGGACTCTGACCACTAGACCAAAGAGGCGGAACATGCTTTAAATTATTGGGAGGCATATGCGATGGAGGTAACCCAAATATATCCCATGGTGTTGATCGACAAATGAAATTGAAGGTCGCATAAACTTGTACTGCCGTTGTAGTACGTTCCTATCAAGCGTTCACTTGGAACAACCTCTTGATTTCATACAGGAGCTCAAGGATATGATTTTACTAAAGTGAAAATTTAGGAAATTTCAGATGAGAAAAAGTCTTCTAAACTCTTTAAACAAATTCACAGAGGATGATATGGTGGATTGGGTAACTTTTTTTAAATTCACTCAGTGGAGGGTGGAGTTCAACTGGGTCCACTTGGCACGGCGGCCACTGTTTGGCCTGTTGTAGCCTACCCCGGGTGATTATGATGATGGAGAATTTGGTGGAATGACGATTGGCAGGGGAAACCGAAGTACTCGGAGAAAACCCGCCCCAGCGCCACTTTGTCCACCACAATCCACTTGACCAGACCCGGGATCGAACCCGGACCGCCGCGGTGGGAAGCCAACGACTAACCGCTTGAGCTATGACCAGGCCACATTTGGTAACTTAGTCCGATCATCGTGAAATGAATCGGAGGAAAGTTTTTCTCTTCCACACCAATAAATGGACGTTTCCTAAGAAAACTGCTCTCCACCTCTCGATTCTTCTAGAAGATACCTAATCCGTAGCTGCAGGAATTGTTTTTTTTTCTTGTATGGTGACCATATAAGCCAGTTCCTAAGTTACTGATATAGAGGTTATGAGTTGCCCTGTAGGACAGTTTGTATGACAGTTTGCCGGCACCACGCCATGAAGGCGTATGGGCGAGTGGATGTAGAGATCCAAATTTTCTTCACCTCGACATTAGCTGGAGGTGAATGGTTAGCTTCGTGCCTCTGCCTCTTTACCCACGAGGAAAAACCCTCGGTACCCAATGGATAGGAGGCCGGGTGGACCCCAGAGCCGGTCTGGACGACTTGGAGAAGAGAAAATTCTTGGCCCTACTGGGACTCGAACTCAGATCCCTCGGTCGTCAAGCCCATAGTCAGTCGCTGTACCGACTGAGCTACCCCGGTTCATACTATCTTACAGAAGGATAAAATTATTTGTATGCCAGTTTGCTGGTAACTTATTGCAGTAAAATAAGCCTGTTTGCCGGCATGTCTTGCAGCATATGTCTGTGAGTCATTTGGTTTATTTCATTTTCATAAGTATGGTGAGCTCAGAAATTCATGTGCTGTAATGTGGTTTATATTTGACATTCGTTATCACCGTTTTTTCTTGTGGAGCCTCGAGTTGAAGCACTTTTCTTTATATGTTCCGCGCAATGCGCTGGAAGGAAATGGCAACTGCTGTTTTAAATTTAACATTTTACTTTATACAGAATTGGTTCTGGCCGCGCCATAGCTCAAGTGGTTAGTCGCTGGCTTCCCACCGCGGCACCCTGGGTTCGATCCCGGGTCTGATCAACTGGGATTTGTGGTGGGAAA